AGCCAAGAGCGTCGCCCACCACGCCAGCCTGGACCCGCCGGCGCTGCCCGCCTCGGCCGCCGACCCGCCCCGGGATAAGACTCAAAGTAAATCCTTTTCCATCCAGGAACTGGAACTCCGTTCTCTGGGTAAGACCACCCTGACAGCGGCCACCTTCATAGACGCAATAATCATGCGTCAGATTGCTCACGATAAGGGGCCGCGAGGAGGTGCCGGCGTCTCCCCGCCCGACGGTAAGACTCCCGGCGCCCCGGCCCACCAGGCTCGCCAGGGCTCTGCTTTTTTGTTCGGCCCGTTTTGTTCCTTTCAGCGTTTCGTCCTGCGCCCGCCGGCCGCCCGCCCCCATCACATTGTCACCATGGTTTCGCTCATGAGTTTTTTGCTTTTGTTTTTGGACTTTCCATTTTTGTTCTTTTTCCTTTTTTCCGTTACTGAGTGGACCCGTGGTTTGGACACTGTGCCCTCCCCCCGGGCCGTCACTGGGGCGCGGGCTGCCGAGGGTGGGGTGGGGGGGCCACCTGCCCTGCGTTTCCATCTGGTTCCGTGCGGAGAAACTGAGTCAGGCAGTGCGTGGGGCCAGGGAGAGGAACCCGGTCCTCTGCGGAGGCACTGGGGACCCCCCAGTCTCCAGGGGAGCCATGGGTTGCCCCCGGGAAGAGGGAGAACCTCGTGTCCAGTCTCCATCCACTCTCCGGCCGGGCACTGGGGCCCAGGCCCCGTCTAACCAGCCCCCCAGGTTCCCCCAGCGGCTCTGCCCCTCCCTCCCTGTGTGGCTCACGGTCCTTTGTCCTCTGCCGACCCCCCATCCATCCATCCATCCTGGCCTGTCCCCTTCCCCACGCTGATCTCCGTTCCTGTCACCCCACCTTGGTTTTCTCAGCTCTCAGGGGGTCTCTGCCTGACTGCTGGTCATCCTTCTCTGTGTCCCTCACCCCCTTCCTTGTGCCCCTGCACACATGCCCCTCCCCCACAACCCTCCACATTTCCGCTGCCCACCCACCTTAGCTTGGGTGCCCCTTGGGCCTAGCTGACATACAGGGGCAGGGAGGGGCCGGCAGCCCGAGGCCCCCCACCCTGACTGCTCCCACTCGTGCAGGTTACCATGGCAGCGGCAGCTACAGCCCCGAGGGGGTGGAGCCCGTGAGCCCCGCCAGCCCACCCAGCCTGGCCCATGACAAGGGGCTCTCCAAGCACCTCGAGGGGGCGGAAAAGGGCCACCTGGAGGGGGAGCTTCGGCACAAGCAGCCAGGTGTGGCGGGGACAGGTGTCTGGGCGCAGTAGGTGGGGGCTGCAGGGGAGAGGCGAGGAGGGAGGGTGGGAGATGGGCCAGATGAGCGGTGGCAGGCCAGCAGCCCCCTGCCCTCACCCCCTGACCGATTCCTCTGCCCACAGGCCCCGTGAAGCTTGGCAGCGAGGCAGCCCACCTTCCGCATTTGCGGCCGCTGCCGGAGGGTCAGCCCTCGGCCAGTCCGCTGCTCCAGGCCACCCCGGGGGTCAAAGGTCATCAGCGGGTGGTCACCCTGGCCCAGCACATCAGTGTAAATACCCTTCGTCACCACAGGGGCCAGGCTTAGGGAGGGGTCAGCACCGGCCCTCGGCCTCGGGGTGGACTGAGGCCCCACAGGGAGCAGGTGGGGAGACGTGTAGGGGCCAGGGTCCCTACGGGCCTCAAAGTGGGTGCAGAGCCCCGTGGCTGGGCTCCAGGGAAGGGGGAGGCCGGAGCATGGGGAAGCTGGAGCGTGGGGCCGCCCCTGACCACAGGCCACCCCACAGGAGGTCATCACCCAGGACTACACGCGACACCACCCCCAGCAGCTCAGCGCCCCTCTCTCTGCACCCCTCTATTCGTTCCCCGGAGCCAGCTGTCCCGTCCTGGACCTGCGCCGCACCCCCGCTGACCTCTACCTCCCACCCCCTGACCACAGCGCCCCAGCCCGGGGCTCCCCGCACAGCGAAGGGGGCAAGAGGTGAGGCCCAGAGCCGAGCGTCCAGGGAGGGGCAGGGCTGGGACTGATCCCAGAGCTCTGACCTGTGAGAGCTGCCTGCACACTCAGGACACGTCCACGTACCCAGGACACGTCCACGCACTCAGGACGCGTCCGCACGTACCCAGTGCACGCATGTGCTCACCCACCCCCGGGGTTATGAGCGTGAGGGACAGGCCAGGGCTTCACGTTGTGGGCACCTGAGGGGCAGGGCCAGCAGGATGTGGGGAGGGCCGGAGCTGGCCTGGGTGCAGTGGGCCTGGGCCCGGCGGCCTGGCCTCTGGGAGGAGGACACACCTCATGAAGCTGAGGTCAGTCTGAGCAGTGATGGGCATTCGGGCCTCAGCGGGTGGGGACGCAGGGCACGGAGCAGGGCCGCCCCTCCAGACACGGCGCTGACCTGTGGGCCCCCTCTCCCCTCAGGTCTCCAGAGCCCAGCAAGACCTCAGCCCTGGGCAGCAGTGAGGACGGCATTGAGCCTGTGTCCCCGCCAGAGGGCGTGGCCGAGCCTGGGCAGCCCCGGGGAGCTGTGTACCCACTGCTGTACCGTGACGGGGAGCAGGCTGAACCCAGGTACCACGGCCACTGCCCCCCAAGGGCTCTAGTCTCCACTCATCCCTCGGCACAGCGGGATGACCTTTGGTTGGTTGGGGGCACTCAGATGAACTGGGGTCTCCCTGCCAGCACCTGTTGAGGCTCTGACAGAATGAGTCCCCCATGCCTGCAAAGGAGGGCAGGCCAGGCGTGAGGTGTGGCCAGAGCACCCGGAGGGTACTGCGGAGCAGGGCAGCTCGCCAGGACAGCTGGCGTCCCCAGAGACATCCGCAGCCTGGGGACGTGAGGGACCTGGTTTGGCCAGGCCGGGTGGTGACCTCCCCAGCACCGAGGGCGTGCGCGCTCAGGGAGCCGACCTGCGGTGTCTGCCCCTCCCAGCAGGATGGGCTCCAAGTCTCCCGGCCACAGCGGCCAGCCGCCAGCCTTCTTCAGCAAGCTGACAGAGAACACCTCGGCCATGGTCAGGTCCAAGAACCAGGAAATCAGCAAGAAGCTCAACAGCCACAACCGGAACGAGCCGGAGTACAGTAAGGGCTGCTGGGCGGGTCCCCGGTCCAGGGAGAGCCTCCGGGTACAGAAACAGGGCTGCTGGGCGAGGTGTCCCTCCGAGACCCCTCTGCGTCCAGGCCTCTGAGAGCTTTGGGGTGCAGAAGAGGCAGCCACAGCAAGGCCTGGGTGGATAGGCCCATGGCCTGGCCCAGGACACTGACCAGCTGCAGCGAGTCCTAGTGCCTCGGGGATGCTGGCTGCCGGACTCCCTTGCTCCGAGCTCAGCCTGGGACAAGCCAGTGGGGACAGGTGGGGGCTGGAGGAGGGGTGATCTCACCGAGCCTACAGGAAGCTGCCTCGGGGTGCCAGGCTGTGTGTAGGCAGCAGCGTCCCCTGCCCCGGGCGGTTAGCTGTGCAGAACTGTGGGGGAGGGGTAGCACTCTCCCTGGGACAGGACCCCAGCGTGGGCAGGTGGGGCCGGGGCTTCCCGGGTTCCTGGATGGCAGCCTGACCCTCTGTCACTGCCCACCAGGCATTGGCCAGCCGGGTACAGAGATCTTCAACATGCCGGCCATCAGCGGACCAGGTACAGCTTCTTTGGGGCATGGTGGGGGGGTGTGGGGGGCCAGGAGCATTTCTGTTCATGTTGTACCCCCTCACGTCGTCTCATGCCCATTCCCTGCGTGTCCCGCTCTCAGCTGGTCAGTCCCCTGTCCTGTGTTCTATCGTGGTTACCCCCTCACCGGCTCCCCTGCTTCTCACACACTGTTGTGCTCAGTCCCTCTCTGCTCTAGCCGTCCCCCGCCTCAGGCCCAGCCAGCTCCTGTTTTAGCTTGGCTTCTCTGTCTATTGTTGTCCCGTGCCAAGGCCCCCCTCACCCCACATCTACCCGGCTGGCCTCAGTCCCATCTAGTTGACCCTCTTCTCTGTTGTGGTTGGTCCCCTTTGTCTGGTCCGCCCCCACTCTTCCCAGTTGGCCCTCTGTTCGGTTACGGTCCACCATATGGTTCCTATTCAATCATGGTTATCACTCCACTTGTCTGCTGGTCAGCACCCCTGGATCTCGTCCTATGTGGGCAGTGGTCCAGCCGCATGCTGAGAGGTCTCTGGGGGAGAAAGCACGAGCCTGCCCCACCCCCAGTATATAATGTAGAGCTGACAGCCGCCGTGCGGGGCCCCAGAACCTTCCAGCTGCCCCACTAGGCCCCTGGGTGGGATGGTGCTGTGGCCTGGGCCGTGTGTGGACGGAGCATCTGCGTTGCTGGAAGCCCATTTGTCCACCCGGGTACTCACGGTTCATTATAAGGAGACATGAGGGTTCTGTAGGGGGATCCCGGCGTTTGCCTCCTGGGGGGTCTGAGCTGAGACTGGAACCTTGGGGGGACTGTGTCCCTTTGTCTTTTGTGAGGGGCACTGTGGGCCGAATGGGGGGGGGTCCTTGCTACACAGTTCACAGGTGACATCTCCCCAGTGTCCAAGCCAGGGCAGAGGGTAGTGTGGTTGAAGGTTCTAAGTGCTGGCTGTAGATGGGGGTCTGTGTACAGAGGACCCCATGTCAGCCTGCTCCTTCTCAGTGTGGCCAATGCACCTCGCCCAGGCTCTGCTCTGGGAAGAGCTGTGTTTGAGCCTCACGCTGCACAGGCCTGCTCGTAGCTAGAACTGCGGCCGGCAGCAGTAGGTCCCAGGCCCCGTGTCCGGCAGCCCCGGGCCTCTTGACACGTTATCTGTGGCCTCTCCCGGGAGGCAGTACTGCACCAGCCGGTGCCTGCTACCACACACGAGGTTGGGTGGGGAGAAGGGACCCAAGTGGCACCTCAGCGGACAGCCTAGACTCTGGGTCCGTTGCTCAGGCACCCAGTGGTCTCAGTGGGGGTGGGGAGAAGGACTAATGGGGGGGCCCACTTTCACCTGTGTTCACACCCACGTGCTTTTTGTGATGGGACATGACTAGGGAAGTGTGTAGAGCCAAAGAAAAAGCTTGAGGACGACACCAGAGTGTGTGGAGCTCAAAGGGTGACAGGGGAAAGGGCGCGGCTCCCATCCAGAGGCTGGGCCCCTCGCTTCCCCAAGCCGCCCCAGACGGCGTCCGCAGCCCACAGGCGAAGTCACCCAGAACAGGCGCTTTAAGGCTGACGACAGGATTGGCACTCTGCACGCGGGGGTCTGTCAGAGTCAGGTTTAATCACATCTTAGGGGTGCTCACAGGGGACAAGAGGGGACAGGGCTCGGGGTGTGGATCTGTCAAGGCTGTCCCCCCAGCGCGTATCCTCAGTCATCTCGGCGCTCAGGGACGCTCAGGTACCTGGAGGGCAGAGGCAAGTGGTGGAGGTCGCTGGGGTCCAGCAGTCCCTGCCCCTCCAGCCAGCTCAGGAAGGAAGGGGCTCCCCGAGGCGCACTCACCTGCGTCCCCTCGGTCCGTCGTCCCCCAGGCCTCGTGACGTGCAGGAGCCAGGCGGTGCAGGAGCACGCCAGCGCCAACATGGGGCTGGAGGCCATCATCCGGAAGGCGCTGATGGGTAAATACGAACAGTGGGAAGACCACCCGCCGCTCGGCACCAACGCTTTTAACCCTCTGACCGCCAGCGCCAGCCTGCCCGCTGCTCTCCCCATAACCACTGCTGACGGACGGAGTGACCACTCCCTCGCCTCGCCAGGTCTGCAGACTGCGCCCCCCCCCTACCCGGGCCCCGACCCCGCTCCCCAGCTTCTGAGCTTGTGCTCTGCTTAATCTCGAGCTGTCCCTGCCCCGGGCGAGTGCTGCTGAGCCCTACACCCCCCCCCCCCTGCGGGTAGGGGGTGAGCCCCAGGAGGCCCCAGTCCTTGCCCCACTCACCGCGTCTGCGTGGGTGTAGAAGGTTCTAGACTGTTCAGTGGTGCCGTCCCAGCCTCTGGATGGGAGCCTCGCCCCTTCCCCCATGAACTGAGGGCACGGCAGATCTGGCCCCTGCGACATCGTCCCCTCTGCCCATTTGTCTGGCAGGTGGAGGAGCGGCCAAGGCCAAGGTGTCCGGCCGGCCCAGCAGTCGCAAAGCCAAGTCCCCAGCCCCAGGCCTGGCCTCTGGGGACCGGCCGCCCTCCGTCTCCTCGGTGCACTCGGAGGGGGACTGTAACCGCCGGACGCCGCTCACCAACCGCGTGTGGGAGGACCGGCCCTCGTCCGCAGGTGGGCGTCCGTGGGGGCCCGGGCGGGGTCCCCGCTGTAGCCCCTGAGGGCGGAGCTGCCCCGGAGCCAGGCCCTGAGCCTCTAAAAAGGATCCAAGAATCTGGAAAAGTGGGTCCGGGATGGAGTGGGACTGCTGTCTTACCTCGGGGTGCGGCCAGGCGGTGGTCCTCACGGGGCCTGTCTCCCCCCCCCCCACAGGCTCCACCCCGTTCCCCTACAACCCCCTCATCATGCGGCTGCAGGCAGGGGTCATGGCCTCGCCCCCGCCCCCTGGCCTCCCGGCGGGCAGTGGACCCCTAGCCGGGCCCCCCCCGGCGGCCTGGGACGAGGAACCCAAGCCGTTGCTGTGCTCCCAGTACGAGACGCTGTCCGACAGCGAGTGACCAGGCCGCGCCAGGAAGGAGGCCCGAGGCTGTCCACTGTCCGTCCGGCGGCGGCATCCTTGCCTGCCCGAAGCCTTAACTCGGACCCCCGCCCCGGGCTCGCCCTGTGCAGACCTCACTCAGGGGATGTTCACCTGGTGCTCGGGAGGGAGGGGGCACCGGCCCCACGCCGCAGCCAGCGACCCGGCGCAGGACCACCGCGCCCCTCCCGGCCAGCGCCTCCCCCCGTCGCGTTTGGAACCAAAGTCTAAACTGAGCTCGCCCCGCGCCCCTCCCGCTTCGCGCTCTGGACAGACGGACCGGGCCGCCCCGGGGGACTGCAGGCGGGCGTCGTGAGGAGGCGGACGTGGTGTCTTGGTTTACAGGGTGTATTTTTGATACCGTCGATGGATGAATTAAGAAGTTCTACGCGAGGACTTAACCAGTATTCTTGCTGCTTGTGATCTGACCGTCGAGTGGGCCGGCGGGGAGCTGTCGGGGACCAGGTGGCGGCACCCCGGCCTCCCCCCACCATGGCTGCCCTCCGCGTGGTGGCAGTGTCTGTCATTTACACACGTTCTGATTAAAAAGCAAATTATACTCGAGCTACGCACACAGAGGTCTCTTCTCTTCCTCGGAAGCAGGGTTGGGGTGCATGGCCCCTGGCCCCGTGTCCGAAGGGAGAGGGGTGTGAAGGGACACCACTTCCTCCATACCCCTCAGCAGAAGGGTCAACTAGACCAGGGCCCACAGCTAAAACAGACGGCAGAGGCACAGTGTGCGTTTTATTAGACGTCCAGCCCACAGAGCCCCCCCGGTCCTGTCTCTCAGGGTGGCTTCTAGGAGGATGTCCAGCGGGCTGAGCCCACCACGCCTCTGTCCTGCAGCCCCGGGCACAGCCTGGCCCTGGCCATCACATGGACAGGCCTGCCCTGTGTACGGCCATTCGGGACGGTGCCCGTGTCCACTCTGCCTTGACAACAGTCAACAGTGGGGTCCATGAACAGGGGTGCCCACCTCGCAGGGTGCCATCCCCACCATGGAAGAGTCCCGGGGACAGGTGGGCTGCGGCCCCGTCACAGCCCCTCGGGGCTGGGCGCTTCGTGCTGGGCCAGCTGGACGCTGGCGGCGAACCTGCGGCCTGGAGGGCCGAGACTGCAGTGCAGTGTGGTGCGGAAGGACCTGCGGGCGTGCTTGGGGAAGATGATGGTGGTGCTGGCGAAGCGCAGGGCGCGCGGCCGCGGCTCCAGTCTCAGCTGGGAGCGGTAGCTCCGCCATGTGCAGTTGGGCGCCGCCACCACCGTCTCGCTGTAGGCTGTGACCGTGGGCACCGGCACGTAGAACACCTTGTCCCGGAAGTGCTGCTCCGAGGCGTACCTGACCTCAGAGTTGCAGCTGGGGAGGGAAGAGGGGTGTCAGGCGTCTCGGGGCAGCTGCTAGCCCGCCCGGCCCCACCGAGCTTTCACGGGTGGCTCTGGTACCAGCCAGGCCTTCATCACTAGTCTCGGCACAGGTGGAATCCCATCAGCGTCCTGACAGGTGCAAAGCTGCTGTGCCCCCCTCCACGGGGTGCCCGAGGCTGTAAGTTCAGGGCGGAGGCTCCCCAGCTTCCTGCCATGGAGCCACAGATGGCTTCAAACTGCTGACCTTTCCATTGGCAGCCTGACTTACAGGGGCTGCGCCACCTGCTCCTTCGAGCCTAGCAGAGGCCGGACTGACCGCTGGACACTGCAGCCCCGCTGGGAGGGAGCACAGAGTGGGCAACGGGGCCACAAGGGCTGTCACTGGGCTGGAAATGTGACCCTGATGATGGTGTCACAATCTCCTGATGGACACTCCTACCCATGAGCTGTCCCTGTCTTAAGGACAGACACCCTGAAGCTGCCCGGCGCTGCAGGACAGGAGTGTGTCAACTCAAACGTGTCACAAACACTGAATCCTCCACGTGTATGAAAAGGTGGCCCGGGGCGGACACTCCGAGGCACTGCCCTCTCCTCACAGCTCTCTCTACTTTCAACATGACACCACTTTCCAAAAACAGAACACTCAACACCTGTCACCCCAAAAAGCAGGAGCCCCCCAACTCGGCTGCCCTCCCGTGGTCTGTTCCCAGAACAGCCAGAAAAAGTAGTTGCAAACGGAGCTGCTGGAAGGGCCCCACAAGAGGGGTGGTGACCTGGGGGGCTGGAGGCAGCCACCTGTAGGCAGCGATGTGACAGCAGGCAACGTAACAAAGGAGAGCTGGGGGAACGCGGGGCCCGGCCACGCTGGACTGATGGACATACAGGTCAGCTCCCCCACCCCTGCCTGCTCCAGCCCGGCCTCCCCCTCAGTACTGCCAGCCAGACCCCCCCACCGGCTGTCCTCTGGCATTTCCTGTAAATCATAAGGGGCGACCAGTCTGTAGGTCTCCCTCAGAGCTACCAGTGGAGTTGAACCACTGACCTCTTGCTTAGGAGCCGGACGTGTATCATCACTGTACCACTCGGGCTTGAAATCAGAAAGCCAGCCACCACCTAGGAGGCGCGCACGCCCGGTGCACATGGGCAAATGGACAGGGACGCGGTCACCTCAGGGCACCCAGGGCAACAGTGGGGACAGGAGCCAGCGGCCCCCACACCCAGCCATGTGTCAGGACCAGGGGAGGGGGCAGCGGTGGGGGTGTTTCTCACACTAACTGGACTTCACACTGACGTGAACAGCACACGTATCAGGGAGAAGGGCTCTGGCCAACCCTGGGTGACTCCCGAGCACATGTGGACAGTCGTGAGTGTCCACAGCAGGCGGTCGGCCGGGGCAGCAGGGCTGGGGGACCGCAAGCCAGAACCAGTTAAACATGGCCCGTCTCAGGCTGTCCTCCCACAGATGATGCCACAGGGACAGCTCGGATTTGCCCTTCAGCCCCCTGTCCACCTGCCATCACCCAGGCAACCATGGCCTTGCTGCAGCAGGTTCTGCCCTGTCACCTCCCCATCGGTCACCACCACTCATGAGGTCCAGCCTGGCTGCAGGGTCAGCCGTCCACATGGGAGCTGCCCGCCCACTGCCCCCCACGCACGCAGCTGGAGCTGATGCTTCCACACCCTGTCTGAGCAGAACCGTGTGCGATTTCTCAGGCAGCCAGGCCTTCCCTCCGAGGTGCCTGTGAGTAGGTCTGAACCCCCTACCTTTTGGTAAGCAGCCTGGTATGGTAACCACACAGCTGTGGGATCTGTCCCCAAAGAAGAGACCCGGTCAGGTAAGAGGATAAGGCAAGAGAGAGAGAAAACACGGGACGCGGGCCACCGCCAGGGCCCCAGAGCCAATCACCTCTGCCAGGGTCGCAGCCTCGGCAAAGCCCCCGCAGGGCCGCACTCCATCCACTCACCGGATCTCCCGCGTGGGCTCGGGGTTCACCTCGATGCGCTCCCCGAAGAACACAGGCAGCATCCTGGGCCTCGGCTCTAGGACTGGGACCAGCGGGTGTCGGACCGTGAGTAGCTGTTGGGGGAAAGGGCATGGTGAGCGCTGGACCCACATCCTCCGGGGAGGCCACCCTGCAGAGTGGACACCCTCATGCTGGCTGAAGCACGCCTGCCCTCCCCTCCCACTTCCCGGCCTATCCCCAGTCCTGAGAAGAAGATGGGGTCCCCTATACAGGGGCAGGGAGCTGGGGCTCCTCTTAGGGGACCCAGGGCATTGTGAGGACGTGTCCCACAAACAGTTCCAGCCCTTCTCAGAGCAAGCTGAAGGAAGCAACCCCCGACGGGAGAGCAAACCCCAAGGGGTGAAATCGATGAACCTCTGGGCTGAAACGGGCAACCTCCAAGGTGCAGGGACGGAAGCCGGGCCTGTGACAAACCTCCCAAGGAGGGCAGCTCGGCCTGCCAGCTTACCCTCCCAGCATGCACTGCCCTGGTGGCCATAACTGGTCTAAGTGCGGGCACGTGACCCAGGGTGGGCCAGAGAGCCCACCCAGGTTTTCAGCTCTGAGCCGGACTGGCCTGGGCTTTGATTTGGTGATGTGGTCACTAGGAGTGTGGGGTCATGGGTTCACTGGCTTCTCTCACTGCTCACTGATGCAAGATTATCCAGAAGTGAAATGAGAGAGGGGGCCCATGGCAGGCGGGAGACGGCTTGCCTGCATTGTGCAGATACCTGGATCAAGCCATGCCTGAAGCTCACACCGAGTTCCTGGGCTGTGCAACAGGCAGACTCCTTTTATGGCCTAAGACCACTCAGAGTTCTTTTCAGTGACTCATCACCCAGCTCAACGGCTGGAAAGTTCTGTCCCTGATCTGTTCCAATGTCCATTTCCCACATCCCCCCCCTTTGTAGAAGTCAGAGACCGACACCCCCCCCCCACAATGACCTCCACAGAGCTCTGCCCAGCACATCACAAAGATGTCCCCTCCATCCCTCTTCCTGCGTCTGTCCACCCCCATGACCCCCACAAGGACTTGCTGTGGACAAGTGTCCATGAGGCCTCTGATGACCACATGCTCTAACAAAGTGGAACTGAGACACGCCAAGGGGGGGGAGCTGTGAGCTGGGGACACGACGCCGAGCGGAAGGGGTCGGGGTTAGGACAATGGAGTGTGGGTTAGGTTCTGTGGCTGCATCAGAACACCTAACCAGCTGAGGACGTCTGGCCAGGCCTGGGCTGCTGGAGCAGTGCCGGCTTCTGTCTGAGTAGTGACCAGGTGCTGGGACAGTGAGAATGGCCCCTCTCTCTACCTGTGCAGGTGAGAAGGGCTGGGGAAGCTGGGGCTGAGAGGAGAGGCTTGTGGGGGGGTGCCGGTGTGGACATGGACAGAGGTCCTTACTCCTCTCCCTGGGTGAGACCAGCAACCTCAGACAGACCCTCAGACAGGCAGGGACAGAGCAAGGACACAGCAAACGCAGCCACGCCAGCTCCCGGAGGCACAGCCTAGATCCCAGGGCCCAGGTGCAGCCACGGGCCTGTCCATTCGTGGGCGCTCAGCCAGCCCAGCGCTCCCAGCAGCCTCACACATGGTTGTGGCCGCTGTTAGGTGCTGCCGAGTCGACTGCAGCCCACAGCGGCCCGCAAACTACAGAGGTGAAGCTGGCCCCGTCTGGGGCCACCCTTACCATCTCCAACATGCCGTGTCAACCTAGCTCGAGGGTCCTCAGGTCCTTCTCTTATCCCAGCCTGATACCCTTTCTCCAAGGACTGGCCTCTCATAACAGGCAGCCCAAAATATAGGACACGCAGTGGCACGAGCTCCCTGCCTCCCAGGACCTCCGCGTCGCACCTTCTCCGAGACCCTCGGGAGGCTCTGTGGGATATTCAGGATCTTGTCCAACTCACTCAAAGGCACTGATTCTCCTCTAACCCGGGGCACCGGGGACTCGGAAAGTGCTGACAGACATGGGCCGATGACCAGCCCCCGGGAGGAAAGCCCAATGTGGATGCCCCCTCCCTTCCTGACCACATGAGCCCCAAAACCCAGTGGGCATTGACCTTGGACACAGCAGGCCCTTCTGGTTGGTCACTGTGCTGCCCATCCCCACTCCACCCCCAGGTGAGGCCCATATGAGACATGGAGAAGAGAGGAAGGGGCTTCTGGGAAGCCCAGCAGCTGCCCTAAGGGTTCTCTCTTGCCCAACAAGGGGGGGGGGGCTGCAGTACTCCCATCTCATGTGGTCAGCACAGAGCTGGCACCCAGACATCCACATCCGAATCCCTGGAGCTTGTGGACACAAGCCCCCCATAGACGTGGGACCCTGTAGATTTGATGGAGTGAGGACTTGGATTGGGAGGTGGTACTGGGTGGGCCAGGTGGGTCAAACATCACAGCAGCCGGACAGGGAGGACAGGTGCACAGAGCAGCAGCCCGAGAGGAGGGGACAGGAGACCACACATGGGGGGCTTCTTGGAGAATCAGAAGGCGGGTGCAGCCCCCACAGCCACAGGCTCCCGTCAAGGCCGCCATCAGGCCCCACAGTGGTACCCCATGTGTCAGACAAGAACTGCACCCACGGGCATCCACGGCTGATCTTCCACTCCACCTTATCTGTTAGCACCTGAGCATGCTGTTTGCACACATGCCCTGGGGCCTCCACCCAGAACAGAGACCTCCCAGCCCTCACGGGTCTCGTGAGAACAGCCCCTTTTTGCTTCCTGGTGCTGCTGGCTAGAAAGTCGCCCACTCAAGTCCCACAAGGCCTGGCTGAACAACTGGTGGGTTCATAACCGACCTTTCAGTCAGCAGCCAAGTGCTCAGCCCACTGCACCACCAGGGCTCCTTAAAAGGAACCCAGAGGAAATATTTTAAGTGCCAGCAATTCTTAGATCTTCCTATGAAGGTCTCAGCCACTCCCAGCAAGTCCTGGGGCAGACTCACTGCCCACCTACCCTAACAGACAAGGAGAAGATTTGAGCAGAACTCACAAAAGAAGCCCTCGGGCTGCTGCTGGCGACCCTGACCCTCGACCCTAGGCCCATAAGACTAGAGGCCACAAGCTTCCTGCCCTGAAGTCAGCCAGGTACCTTTGCTGCTGAGCCTGTATTTCCTGCCCCAGCCAAAGAGTGTGCCAGTGACAGGTCTCCCGCCAAAGCCCACAGGCCACTGCTACTGCTGCTGAGAACTGTGGGGAAAAATCACACGCAGGACACTGATAACATGAATATAAGGAACTGGCAACCACTCACATCCACACTACAGAAGCTACCACATAAATCCCAAGAAGAAACTCCCCTACTGTCAAGGAAACAGCAGGCCAGTCCAACCACTATGAAAAGGCAAAGTATGTTTTTCCTAAAAAAGCATCAAGAATCCCATGAACATCCTGGAAGCAGGAAGGCAGAAGGATACACTTTCATGGCATTCTAAGGATTGGTACTGAAGAAGTTACAAATGACAGAAGAGAGGAATTAAAGTATTAATAACAAACATGGAGAAAAATGCAACTTTTCTCATCACCAAAAACATGGAACAGAAAAACAAGGAAATTGCATTTCCTATGAGTGTCTTACATAATCTTAAATAGTTAGGAAGGGACTGAAACTAAAAGTTTAAACACTGAGAATTCTAATCCACCACTCTCCCCTCGTCAAGAATGATCTTATGTTTTGTTTTGTTTTTTTTAAAAAAAATTGTGCTTTGAATGACAGCTTGCAGAATGCTTGATTTTCCATTCAATCATTTATAGATTTTGCTTTGTGATGATTACAGCACCCACATTGTGACAACACTCATTCCATTTCCTGCCTGCGGTTCACATTTTAAATGGTCTTATCCTTCATCATGTCTGAAGATAGCATGGATGTTCCCTGAGGAGTCTTGGGCAGTTTTACAGAATAAACAGGGAACAGTAGTATTAGTATGAACTTTGTTTCCCTCTAAAGCACACACTTAAAAGTAGCTCTGACTACATTTTCCTTGAGAACAGGGACCAGACAAGGATGCCCACTGTCACCACTTCTATTTAATATTATACTGGAAGTGCTTGCTGGGGCAGTATGACAAGAGAAGGAAATAAAAGGCATCCAGATTGGCAAAGAGATGGTTCAACTATCGCTATATGCAGATGATATGATAGTGTACACAGAAAACTCCAAGGACTCAACAAAAAACTGAGAGCTAGTGGGCCAAGTGGCAGGATATAAGATCAATATCCAAAACTCAGTGGGATTCCTCTACAGTAACAAAGAGAACTCAGAGAAGGAAACCAAGAAAGCAATACCATTTACAATAGTCAAATACCAATCAAGATACTTGGGAGTGAACCTAACTAGAGATACAAAAGACCTATACAAAAGCCTAGCCTCCAAGGAGCAACTTGGACACAATAAGAGATCTAACTGAACAGAAAAATATTCCCTATTCATAGCTAGGATGACTGAACACAGAAAATGGCAATCCTACCAAAAGCAATCAACAATTTCAAGTCAATCCTGATAACAGTTACAAAATTCCTTCTTCAAGGAGACAGAAAAGGCAATTTCCAGTTTCACTTAGAAAGGAAAGAGACCCAGAATAAGCAAAGCTCTTCTGAGAAACAAAAACTAAGTAAGAGGCATCTCACTCCCTGATTTCAAAACCCACTCCACAGCCGTAGTAATCTGAACAGCATGGTACCGGTACAACATTCATTTACTTTGTATTTTAAAAATAATCATTCATATATACTATATTGTATATAATTACCATTGATCTATCCCTATTATCACCTTGTCTTTTCAAGTTCCCATTAAATCTTTCCTGTTCCTTTATCTCCCTCCCATCTACTCACCTCTGTTATCCTAGTGACTTTTCCCTTTCCCTTCTGCCCGTCTCCCCTTCCCCATTTAAACACGTGCACATGTCTTGCTCAGTTAGTCTCCTATTTCCACAGTAGTGGTCTTAGGCAATATTTGTCCTTACGGTGATTGAGTTATTTCACTCTGCATCATGCGCTTTAGACTCATATTATACAGTATTTTACAAAATCATTGTTCCGTAGTGCTGCAATAGGACGTATTTGAATGACTGTAT